CAGATCTAGAGGGAGTCGATGCCGAGTTACATAGAAGTATGTCGTGGACATTGTGAGTGGCAGTCGCGTATATACAGAGAGGAAAACTGACGCATATCCAGGGAGAATGATATTACAGACGTGATTGAGGAGACATTTAGTGTCCAAGAAGAGCGATTTGGAGAGCTGGTCACGATTGAGTTGAAACCAGGAGGTGCAGATGTTCCTGTGACAGAAGAGAATAAAGCCGAATTCGTAGAGTGAGTTTTTGGCCCTGGATCAGAGCTCCGGCAATGCTGATCGGAATTCAAGCTTGATGGTCGAGTATCGTATCACCAAGCGTGTCCAGGAGCAGTACACTGCTTTCATGGAGGGATTCAATGAACTCATTCCCCAAGAGCTTATCAACGTCTTTGATGAGCGTGAGTTAGAGTTGTTGATTGGTGGTATCTCTGAAAGTAAGTCATTCTGTGTTCTATATCCGCCATTATACTTACATTGGATTCTAGTTGATGTGGACGACTGGGCTAAATTCACGGATTATCGTGGATATTCGACCGACGACCAAGTTATCAAATGGTTCTGGCAATGTATTCGCAGCTGGCCACCGGAGCGCAAGTCTCGACTGCTGCAGTTCGTCACGGGTACATCCCGTATACCAGTCAATGGCTTCAAAGATCTTCAGGGCTCGGATGGACCGCGCCGGTTCACGATCGAGAAGAGTGGCGATCCGAGCCAGTTACCAAAGAGTCACACTTGTTTCAACAGGGTATGTTATACCGGTACCTATCTGATGCCGGACGCTAACTGAGGCCCTTCTAGATTGACCTACCTCCTTATACGGATTACGAGAGTTTGGAGCAAAAGTTGACGTTGGCTGTAGAGTGCGTTTTGGTCATCCACATGGTGATAGTGATTCTGACTGACGAATTTCACAGGGAAACGGTCGGATTTGGGCAAGAATAAGCGCGCTCGGATGGATTTCAATTGTATATTACCAACAGTTTTCTTTATACAAGAACCCTTGCTACTGCTGTAGATGTGTTGGACGCTCTCTACCCACGCTGTTGCACAGTAGATTTAACCTTGCTTTAAGACTGGAAAACTCCAAAACACTAATTGCCCTGTAGATTGTTGAATACATATTCTTCTTATCCCGTCTTCTTCTAACCGGCCTATAAGTCGATGCTGTGTCGTGAAATGCTTCTGAGAGGTTCTAACTGTCCCCGGTAGTCGGCTGATGTAAGCTCGTCCATACCGTAATGAACGCGATAGCTGCGGGTATCGGCCAACATCGTTTTCTCGCCGGGCCCCACTACGGCTCTCTGTAAACGGGTCCACCTGCCACTACATACTTTATTCCACAGCTCGCAGCTTGCTTCGCTGTCTTTGAAGCTCTTGTCCCCTCCTTTTACGCTACTGATGAGGATATGGTCCAGTTCAATGCAACCGGAACTAGGACCTCACGATTCCCAGAGCCGATCGGCGGACTACCCATGTACTATGACCTAGTGCCGTCCACCATCTTCGGAGTCGGTTTCTTTACAATCTTTCTCCTGAACGTTCGCGAACTCTGCTATAAGGACAGGCGGACAGGTATCAAATTAAGCACTCTTTGGGTCTCATTGGAGAGGATGTTGACCTTGTCCATGAGGATGTCGCAAGCTCTCAAAGTGAACGCGAGGGAGAGCTGGGGGTTCATCGAATATCAACAAATCGCCCTTGGAGTTGGATTCATGGCCCTCATACACGAACAAGTGTTCATCATGTTGTGCGCTGTTACGCTCGCGACGAGGGATGGCGAGCCATATAATTCGTGGATACAACGTGCTGAAAAGGACCCCCGAGTGTTTGAAGGAAGAAAAGAAGAAAGAGCTTGGTTTAGAAGATGGGCAGGCTATATGGCTTGGTCTGTCGGGCTCACGCAAGGAATCCAAGCTATGGACGGGTCATTGCGATGGCCTGAAAACTATAGGAATATCACATGTCTGCTTTATATCAGGTGAAAAACAATGCTAAATGGACCCTATGAAGGAATTACTCACTTCTTTTGGGGCAGATTCTTTGTTAACTTATTATCCTTTTTTCTCGCTGCTGGCCTTTATTCTACATTTCACCGGTTCCGAGAAGTCGAGGGGATCAACCTCGCAGCTCTTCAACGACTCAAATTGACGATATGTTTGCTCACATTCATCCCCCTCTTCCGATCGACCGTCAGCTTTCGAACGGTCACCCTTGACAATCCGAATCCTATCTCTTCAATTGGCCCCAAAGTCGGCTTTTATTGTTTTCAACTTTTACCGGAACTCTCTGCGATGGCAGTTATCACGTACACGGATTATCGCAACATGTGTGATACTGACACATGGGGAGATTTGTCACGACGTCGTCGAGAAAATGGCCACCAAAAATCCAAGTTCTGGGTTATTATGGCCTACAGATCTAGAGGGAGTCGATGCCGAGTTACATAGAAGTATGTCGTGGACATTGTGAGTGGCAGTCGCGTATATACAG